TCCAAATGTGGGGATGATTCATTTCTGACACCCTATCTCACCTCACATTTTGGAGGCATTTTCCTTGATTTCTGGTGCAGATCTAAGTAAACATCTGGATGTCGTAAATTAAAAGTGGTCTGAATTGTGGTTCTGTTAAGGACAAAATTAATTATCTTTTCTCTAGTATACCTACTCACTCATTGCATTCATCTTTGTTTGTCTCAGGGCACACATAATCTAACACAATATATTACTATTTACATATGTAAATCTATAAAGGGAAAGCTATTTTTGTATTATTCTCGGAAACATGGGTTCAGCAAACATACTGTAGGTTGACTGTAGGTAACAAAATAATCTAAGATCAAAGGTCTATATATATATATAAGAGCTCTCAGTTGCATCTCTCTCATCTGCATACAGCAAATGAAAGGTCCTTACTATCATTTGTTATTTGTTATTTTCCTCCATTTCATAATTTGGAGAATCTGTTTGCTTCCCTGCTTCATAGAACTGGATCATCTGTGCCTTCAGTTTCATTCCCATTCATTTATTTTTTTGTATTTTATTCATAACATTACAGTCAAGATATACACATCTAATATCCGGGCAAATCTATACTGTGTGAGTGTGTAGATAGCGAATCTAGAAATAATAGATATTAGTTGTTGTTCTTGGTATTTCTTTATGCAAAATGTGAGAAATCCCTTAAAAAACTCATCTACCAGCCTGACTGGAGTTTGAAATTACAGTATAACTTGTCCTTGTTTTTCCCCCAGGTTTTTCACAACTGCAGCTGCGTTTCCGCCTCCTTCCCAGCAGGCAGCAGTACGTCGGTGAAGCTTGGTCGGTGTCCCCATGCCAAGGACTGCAGCCGCAGCTTCACCTCCTACATGGCCGTGTCTGTGCTCAGCTCCTTCATCAACTCTCTGGGAGCCACACCCGGCTACATGGTCATCATACGGTCTGTGCACCCCGGATGGAAATATTATTCTTAATCATTTTAGATTCACATATACAGTTCTTTTGATGGTATTGGCAGAATCTTGCAGACTGATTGATATGAGTGACCTGGTGCTGTTTTTTAATTACAGATGCATCACACCAGAGCTCAAATCTCTTGCTCTGGGAATTCAAACCTTGGTAACCAGGACTCTTGGTGAGCCTCTTTACAGTTTCATGAATAGTACAATACTTTTTCTGGTATAATCTATTTGATTTTGATTTTGAAAGACTCAATAAAATGTCATTCAAAATCTTGTGACGAAGAAATGTAATTTAAGCGGTATATTATTAAGAAAAAACAAATACAGCTAAATATATAGAACTTTAATGTACATCGTTTTTGCATTGTTTATTCTGTAAAAGTCTGTCAAATCATATCGGCCGTTACTACTTTCCAACCGATACAAAGATGTGACGACATAACTAGTTGTAACAGTTCACATCTGGCTAATCCTTTGTAGGTGGAATTCCTGCACCGGTGTATTTTGGGGCCCTGATTGATTCTACTTGCCTGAAGTGGTCGATCAAGAAGTGTGGGGGCAGAGGAGCCTGTCGCATTTATGATTCTGACATGTACAGGTATGTCACAGGATACTTATGTGGAAATAGAACATAATTATGTGTACTTATCCATCAGCACCACCTTGGACACCAATTCATATTTATGTCTCGGTCGCCCTCTGTGCGTCTTTTGTCTGTTTTTTCAGAATCATCTTCCTGGGTCTGATCACTTGTCTCAGTGGTTCCTCATACGTATTCATCATCGCGGTCATCATCCTCCTCAGAAAACAGTTTCGAAAGCCAGAGTGGGAAACAGAGAGACAGCAATCGAAAGGAAAGGAAATCGAACTTAAGACCTCATCGAGCCCCACTGATGACCAGCCTACTGCTCCCATAAGTCACATCCCAAGAGTTTTGGTGAGTATGGCGTCAGAGCTGGAAGAGGGAGGGGATGTTCAGAGAACGGAGCAGCTCACCAAAGATGGCAGACAGCAACAGTCCTGCTGCCTGACAGAGGCCACTGTTGAGCTCTCTCCTCCTCCTGCTAATGGAGCAAAGTTAGGGCCTCAGTCCGAAGAGGAGGAGAGAGAGCAGAAAGACGAGGTCTCCACGGAGACAAATGCACAAGGGGATAAAGAGAGCGCTGAGGACAAGGATGAAACACCACATGGCAAAGAAACAGATGGACCACAAAACTAAGGTGTTAACCATCGACTGTATATGAAAATGGACGTAGACTCAAGGTCCAGAAAGTGAAGTCAATGTGGAAGTGCCTGAAACCTGCATCCTCTCGAATGACCGGCAGAGGGCGACTCCTCTGGTTGCAAAAAGAAGTCTATGTAAAAATGATGCCTCATTTGATTTGTAACATCATTAAACATTTTCATACGGACTTTATGATCAAACTTTCTACTTTCAAGTCTTCGTCACAGCATGTTGTTCATTTTTTTAAATGGTGGTCCCATTTAGAGTAGACAATATGGCACAATCGGCATTGGGATACCATGTGATTGACAGCTACTGCATCCAATAGGGGCAGGTCGCAGTTGTATGTAGGTGTGCAGTGTCAGACTCACCCTCAGCTCCTCGTTATAAAAAAACAAGATCATTGAGATCATTTAAAATAATGAAACAATGTGACAAACCCAGTGAATTAATGTTTTTTTTCCATTTCCTTGCATTTAATTAACGACTGGAATCTATTGCCCAGACATGTGTGACTGTGCTTTGGTTTTGGACACATTTCAAACACTGGAACCCTCCAGGTGTGGATGCTCTCAGTATGAGCCATCATTTACAGGCCGCAGCACCGATCACCTTTACCGACACTGACCACATGTCTTTTAATCAAATCTCTGCTGACTTTTCATCCCTCTTATGTCCAAAGCTTGAGCAACAGAGATACAGCAGCACTGAATGTGAGACTGTAAACAGAGGCAATGCTGCTGTTGTAAATGGAGGATTATGAAACAAGTATGGCATGAGCTGTTCCTGATGAAGATCATGAAGACTCATTCAGAACAGAATTTAAACTGAGGGTACTAAAATAATCCGAGGGATGTGACACAGGAATGATTTTCCCTTGACTATAACCTGTAAAAATAGACTTTCAAGTCCTTTACATGCCTGCGTAATCATTCACATCACCCACAGTCTTTTTTCTCTTTTCCTTTTTCTTTCCACCTTGTCTTGTGTTTCCGAATGTGTGCAAATTAATTAATTTCTAAACATTCTCTTCACATCCACTGAAGTTAAATATTTAATAGGTTTTAGGTCTTAAGTATCCATCAGTAGAAATCAGGTTTGAAATGACAAAATTGAGTCTAAGCCATAGGGGTCTCAGTAAAGGTTGGAGTATTAAGTGTAACTTTGACTGTGTATATGTAAAAGTAATAATTGCGAGGTCCTTTAAATTGCTGCAGACATCCTTGTGGAGCTTCCAGGAAACACAGGGAGGTGTTGGTTGGACCTTGGTGGTTTCGGGGGTGTTACACGTCCATTAGGACTGTGCTGCATCTGTTAGCTCAAAGCTGCGGTGAAAACCACCTGCACTTACCAGCGGCCTGTGGTGGCATTTCCCCCAGTGAGCCAGTGGGATGATCTCGATGGACACGAATCATCACGACACTAAGAAGCATGGATTGTGATGTTATGAAAGTTACGATCATAGTCATCAATTTGAATTATGTGTGGTGTTTTTCTCAGGAGTTCTCCTGTAATTACATTTTTTATGAGCACTTCTTTTATTACCACTGCATCTATAGAATATATCAAGTAAACAGTTCATCTTCTATTCACTCCAAACAAATCCCAGTTTCTGTTGAGAACACATCACATACCATATAACAGAGGGTAATTCTGGCTACACATCAGACTGAAACCAACAATTAAAGCCCTAAACAACTTATTTTCTTCCCATAGGTGAAGTGTCGTGATTACCCCCTGGTGGCTGGTTACAGTACAGGTCATAAACCCTGGGTCCTCCATGTTAGCTGATGGGATGTGGGTCAAGCTAAAAAGTCAAAATACACAAAAGATTTTACACAAACATGGTTTCTGTCATTTTAAGTACATCACACTGATGTTTGTGTTCAAGTTAATGTTAATGGAGGTTGAAAGCTACAAGCTGCCGCAACTCCACAATACAATCACTAGACTCTGGCTCATGAAGGCAGGGTTTGTATCCGGGATGTTTTGGCTTTGTTTCTCAATGGGGGGAGGAAGTGAGATGTGTCGTCCATCTTTATATAAAACCTATGATTTGTTAATATGAAAATATTTATTCGCAGCTTGAGTATTACAGGAAAACATTTAATGCTTGAACTCAAGTTTTCAGGAAACTATCGCAAAGAGACATCTGCTAATCCACTTTTGAATTAGTCACATTTCCAGGTCACATGCTTGTTAACTCTCATGTTTTACCATCACTTCATTAATTAGCATTTTCTAAATTGTTTGTGACGTGTCCCGGTAAACTAATGAGACACCATTTATTATTGATAATATTTCAACCTCAAATTTATTATTCATCATCATTAAAACCCGGTGGGAGGAACCAAGGCCAGAGTTTGACGACCTCAAACTTCATTATGTGCGTCAAGGTAAATATGAAGACAGTTTCCCTCTTTGACAGGGCTCCTCTCCCGGGTGGGGTTTACGGCGGGTCAGGTCCATCACGGATGTTGATGACAATGATGACGAAGGCGATGATGAGGGCGGTGATGAAAAAAATGTGTGTGTGCGTGTATGTGTGTGTGTTTATGTAAATGTCAAAGTTTGGATTTTTATTTTGTGTGAACTGATTTAAGAGTAACATTGTGGAGGGTGTGTGTGACATACAGTATATAAGACTCTCCAGTTATTTCCTTACACCCCCACCCCTCTCCGTTGGGTGTAAATGAAAATGCAAGGCTATATTTGGAGGGAGCTGATGTCACAAGTGGTTTGAGCAGGGAGCCTATAACTGTTGGAGTCGGTTTGTGTGACAGTTGGACAAAACCTGCACTGCTGCACCAACAGACCAGGATCTGCTGCCAACAAAACAGAAAGTAAGTACGCTTTCACTTCAGGGCTTTAGAGTCTTTATCACAGGACAGTGTCTATGACTGAGTGTTACATTTATACAGGGCAGCTTTAAATGGATAATGGTTTTAGTTTTGATGACAATAGTTGTCTTGTACTTCTCTGATTTTACATTCTGCCCATCTTTACAACTGAACTTTGTTGTTCAAATAAATTATACTTTTGTATTTTCTAAATTCAAGGTCATACAGTATGGATGCATTACAGGGATCAAGGGCACAAAATGATGCAGAATTGAAATGGGATATTTCTATTTCATTTCTATCCTATTTTAATATGTTGTTATTATTTCATTTTATTGTATTGTGGATGCACCACTGGGTTTTGCTGCTTTTCTTTTTCCTGTCAAGTAAATAGATCAGTCAATACTTTTCAGACTGCAGTGAGTAGACATCACCTTGGTGTCTGATAATTATGTTCACTATTCTCTGACATCTTATTGAATAGAATATTCATTGAAAACAAATAGCCCATGCATTGAAATATGAAATTTAATAGAAAGTATTTTTCACAGAACACGTTATGATTTTTGAGCCATGCAACAGAAAATTAAAAAATGGATATTCATAGAATCAGAGCTGAACTGGTTAATGCCTGGTTGGTTTGTGGGGATTACTGATTACTGAAATTAGAAACAAGTATTGTCTTGAAATTCATAATTTTTTCAAATATGAAACTCTTAAACTCTCACTTCTTATTGTATTTTACAGTTGGTTGTATGTGTTGCATTTTTACATTATGTTTAGATTATGTACATATTAAGACAAAAGATTCTGTCCTGCTGCTGTTTTGGTCAGACCTTTCTATTTAGACAAAAGCTCAAAAGGACAAATTAAAACTGAATGTATTCACTGTTTTGTCCAGTAAGTGTCTGAAACAATATATTAAATTGGATTCTATCTACTATAATCCAGGTTAACACCGTTCACTATGTATCACCTGAGGGTGCCCGTGCTCGTCCTCGTGCTGCTTGTGTTGCTGCGCTGTGTCACCACCGCCCCAAGCCACAGGTAAACCATTAAAAGTAGATGTGTTGGCCCCAAAATGTAAAATATGTGCACTTGCAAGTTTCACAAGGTAAAACTGTTCATGATATCAGATTTGGCACCAGTAGGGTTGCTTATTGCTTGAATTGTATTGTCTCAGCAGCCAGGAAACCAATATTTAACCTGGGGTTAACCTGCAGACAAGTAGCTGAATATCATGGAAATTGTGCTATAAGAAAGGCTGCTCTCTGAGAGGAGCATCAGGGCAAAGATGTACAACTCTGGAGATGGAAGCCAGTTGTGAGAGTGCTTCATTGTTCATGTCAGGGGGGAGCCAAGTGGCCACTTTTTCTTCTTGCACTTGGTACTAGTGGATGTTTTGAAGAGGGTTTCATCAGCTATCAGTGTGAAACGCTTTGACCCCTTCTCCCCTGTGTGATTCAGGTACTTCAGTCCCAGCTCATCCAGTGAGCAGGAAAGTGCTCTCCCAGACGTTGAAGGCTGGTTAGCTCCGGGCCTAATGTCTAACCCATTCCTCGACCTCATGGGTGTGAGGCCGCGAAGGGGGCTTACAGCTATGAACAGGTAACAGCATTTCCAGAAATCTGTATGATCACCTGTCTTGATGTCACCTATCATAATATGTTTCTCTCGTCCTCCCAGCCACCACATAGAGAAGAGGAAGTGCAACACAGCCACCTGCGTCACCCAGAGGCTAGCAGACTTCTTGGTGCGCTCCAGTAACACAATCGGTACCGTCTACGCTCCGACCAATGTGGGATCTGCCACCTACGGCAAGAGGGACCTACTGCAGCCGCCCAGCTATCTGCCTCTCTAACAAATGTGGACTCCTCACACTAGCACTCCCGGTGCTCTGATTATATAACCAGTCATTCTGTGTAACAATGGTTGTGAGAATGGTGTTAATAATGATGAAAATGATGGCGATGATTATGAGCATCACCTTGTTCTTGTTTATTTTATACTTTAAGAAACAGTGCCTTTAATTTGGAAGATGACAGTCAATGTGTGTGTTATTATTTATATATGTTATCCCAATATGGCATGATGTGAATATAAAAGTGATTAATAAAACAATAAATAAAATGAAACAGATGTAAAGCCATGTGAAATAAATGTATTCATCTGTTGTTTTGATAATAAAATTTGAAAAAAATACATTTTTAAATATCTTCATGTGTTTCAAGCCACATTATTGCATATCATTACAGCTCCATGCAGGGGCTGTGAGCTATGAGCATCTATTTGATAGGTTACATCATGAATAATCCCCCCCCCAAGTGTCTGTGCACAGTCCTGAACTAAAGATATGTAATATTTTAAATTATGTGTTTTTGAAGTGCTGGTTGGATGATTCTGTAACATTTGGACAGAGCAGGTCAGCTGTTTCCCCTGCCCCTGTTTTCACTTGCTAAGTTAATCAGCTGCTGGTGAGGCACAGTGATGTTCACAGTGATACAGTAATTTTAAATGTGAGGATATAAAATATTTCCTAATTCACTTACAGAACTAAAACGAAACTATCCATAAATCACTAGTTTTGAAATTCAATGTTGAAATGAATCAGAACACAGTTTACTATAAAACATCACACGTCCTATGTCTGTAGAGCCTCTTACTTTACTGACATGCAGGATCCCATTTAAACTGTGTCAAAGTGTGTGATTATACTTCAGTCACTAAAAAACACTTTAGTGTTTCTGTATTTTATGAGATATTCATAAAGTTAAAAATACCATTATTTATTATGAGAGTAAAGGTTAAAAAAACACATTCAATCTTCTTCATCAGAATTGTGTGTGTGAGGTTTTGTCAGAGTGCTGACACCAAATATTATTAAATCCTGACTGATGCAAAGTGAGGAAAGCAAGAATGAAAACGAGGCAGAAATCTCTCATTGAAAATGAATAAATAACTAAATAAATAATCAACTTTGGGAGACAATGTTAAAACCACGTCAAGGCTCCCATCAACAATAGTGAGAGGCGAATTGAGAAAATAGGATTTCAGGACATTCATGTTATCACTGGACACACTAAGGTTACACATGGTTATCATATTATTGTGCAGCACTGTATAACTGGTTAAACTGTGATTGAAATAAAAGAGTAAGATGTTGTTCACACGACATTATGGGCTGATAACTCCCAGTTGGTGGACAGCAGATATCAGTGATACTTCTATGTTGATGTTTTCACTCATCTTTTTCTCAATGTTACATTGTGAGAACTGTAGTTTCCTCAATTGTTTCCAGTGATGATGTTTTTTTAAGTTATGGTTCTTTTATATTTCAGAGACTGTGACTTTGAGAGTTTGAAGATTCCTCTTCCAGCTCCTGGTTACATGTGTTCTAACAATTGAATGGGTCATTTGGTCAGATTTCATATTAAGTAAAAAAAATGTATTAGATTCATCCACAAAAACATCTTTTTGAGACAAAATTGTGATTACAGAACAGTATTCTTGTGTTGTCTTGCTGTCAATCAGCGTAATGTTATGAAAATCAAGAGGGGAAGTATGACGCACGCCATTAACCTGTGTTTAATTACATGTGACCTGATCATCTCAGACATGACATCAATACTCCCATACGTGCTTAAAACCTTTTATGAAGGTTTTTCAAAAATAGAACGAGTGCTGGCTTTCGCTGATGAATCCAAAAACAATGCAGCCATTATCCGCTGAACGCAGTGACAGCGAACGGTGGATCATGTCAAGATCTGTCAATTATTTCATGTAAAATCACAAATGGCTGTGTACTTCAGCTGTTATCCAGTGTCGAGTTGTTTATCACCACGGTAATGACGTCTGATGCGTGTTTTGATGGAATTTTGGGTCTGATGCACGGCCTGGTGACCCCGTTAATCTCTGACACTGAAGGTACAGTTGTGATCTAAATATTGACAAGAAGGTCATCACTGCCAGCGGAATTCAAAACAGAGCACTGCTACCTGCTCTCACTGATAAATTGACTTACAGACAACAACTGAGTCAACTGAAGTTAAATATGCTGATGTGATGTTGACAGCTCAATGTAACTAACATTTATTGTTACTTTCCAAAATTTCCCTCAGGATCAATAAAGTATCTATCTATCTATCTATCTATCTATCT